AAAAGACCCCGGAATAGAATTTTGATGATTCCAACAACTCCGTATGGTGATTTTAGACTTAGGAGCGTGATCGGAATTTTATTTGGAAGTCCGTAGTGGAATTAGGCTTGAAATGCCGAAAGTTGAATTTTTGGGAAGTTTGACCGAGGGGTTGACTTTTTGATATCGGGGTCGAAATCCGATTCTAAAAATTTGAGTACCTCCGTTATGTCATTTATGACTTGTGCGCAAAATTCGAGGTAAATCGGACGTGATTTGATAGGTTCCAGAGTCATTTGTAGAAATTAGAAATTTCAAAGTTTATTAGGCTTGAATCTATGTGCGATTCGTATTTTTTAGCGTTGTTGGATGTGATTTGAGGATTCGACTAAGTTTGTATAGTGTTTTAGGACTTGTTGGTATGTTTGGTTGAGGTCCCGGGGGCCTTGGGTGTGTTTCGGATGCTCAACGGGTCATTTTTGGACTTAGAGAAGTAGCAGGTTTTTCTGGTTTTTGTTGCAGAAGTTTGTTCTTCGCGTTCGCGAAGGTGTGGTCAGTGGAAGCATCGCGAACGCAAGGAGTAGGACGCGTTCGCGAAGAGTGTTCTGAGTGTGAGGTTTTGTTCTTCGCGTTCGCGAAGGGGAGGACGCGAATGCGAAGGTATGGTCTGTGTGTGCATCGCGAACGCGTGAGTGGCGTCACATTCGCGAAGGAGAGCGAGGCAGCTGGGAACCCCAGTCTTTTGTTCTACGCGTTCGCGAAGGTCTGAATTTGCAAACCTTCACGTTCGCGAAGCGTTGGTCGCGTTCGCGAAGAGGAAAGTTGGGCAGCACATTTTTGTGCTTCGCGAACGCGAGGCAAGGGTCGCGTTCGCGAAGAAGAAACCACTGGACAGAATGTTTAAGTTTCGTCCCATTTTCTATTTTTAACGATTTGGAGCTCAAATTGAGGTGAATTTTGGGAGATTTTCAGAGAAAACATCGGGGTAAGTGTTCTTAACTTAATCTTGGTTAGATTACCCGAATCCATCACTATTTTTAACATTTAATTGGTGATTTAAGTTGAAAATTTTGAAAAACCCTCATGGATAGATTTGAGGGTCGAATTGTTATTGGAATTTAGTCATTTTAGTATGGTTAGACTCGCGATTGAATGAGCATTCATATTTCTTAACTTTCGACGGATTCCGAGACGTGAGCCCATTTTTGAGTTAATTTTGGATTTTTATTGAAAAATATAGTATTTTCTTATAGAATTAATTCTATAATTTTTGTTGATTGTATCGAATTATTTATGACTAGATACGAGTCGATCAGAATCGAAAAATCGAGGAAAAGTATACTACTTGGTTAAATTGGAGCAAGTCGAGGTAAGTGACTTGTCTAACCTTGTGTGGAGAAAATTTCCCCTAGGATTGGTATTAATTGTAATGTGATGAAAGTCATGTACACGAAGTGACGAGTGTGTATACGGATTAAATGTGAAGGATTTTGTGTTTAAATTATGAGGATCACTGTTGCATATTAATTAAATTATTAAATCTTGTTATATTCTCTATCATTGATTTGATTTGTATACTTTAAATTTGCTTGACCTTTTCCTGCTAATTGTTTTATCTGTTTGGTTGAAACTTGGTTTCTTTTATTCTGTGCATTACTTGAAATTGATTTCCTTTAAATTAGATATTATTAATATGAAGTAATTAACATTTTAAATTTGGTATTGAAGCAACGTATTAAAGATTTTGAAATATTATTTTGCTAAATTATTTATTTCCTGAATATTTTTGTAAGATTTTTGTACTCATTGTGATGGGGCCGTAGGATCTTGATTGTGGAAAAATATTATTGATGATTTATGTTGGCATGAGCCGTGAGCTCTTTATTGTGAAAAATATCGTTTATTTATTTTGGCATATTGAAATATTTGGGCACTTGAGGTGAAAATTGTGATATATTGTGATATTGATACGCATGCGGTGGTAATAGTCTGGGTATTGAAACGCATGCGGTGAGATAAGGGTGGCTTGATACGCGTGGCTAGTAAGGGGAATTACTAAAAGTCATGTGGTGTGATAAGGATGGCTAAAATACGGGATGCTATTTCGGAAAAAATATTTTCTTTAAAATAAATTGTGAATGCTCCCGCGGTGAGATAAGAAAATGAGATATTGTGAATTAAATTATTATTTGGGACTACGAGGCGGTACCTCGGTAGTGCCCTTGTTGATATTGATTTATGGCCGTAGTTGCCTTTGATTTTTATTGTGATTTTTCTTAAAGTTGAAAAGGAATTCATTTTTGTTTCCACGAGGTATTTATTTGCCATTATTTGGTGTAATTAAATGTGACATAGTACTTGATTCATTTCCATTATCACTTTATCTTATTAAATTGTTTAAATATTTTTCCATGTCATTATCTATTCTCCAGTAGGGCCTGACCTGACCTCGTAACTACTCTACCGAGGTTAGGCTTGACACTTACTGGGTACCGCTGTGATGTACTCATACTACGCTTCTGGACATCTTTTTTGTGCAGATCCGGATACATCTTACCAGTCTAGACGTCAGTGAGTTACCTGCGCACGGAGACTTCGAGGTATATCTGCCAGCGTCCGCAGACTTCGGAGTCCCCTTCTCTCATTTTTATGTTGCTTCCTTATTTTTCTTTAGACCTTGATACATTGATACATTAAGAATAAATTTTTAGAAGATTGTGACTTATTTCTACCGGGTTTTGGGAGTTGTAATTATTTGAATTGTAGTTTATTTATTTCAGATATTTATGATTATTCCGCATTGATAGGCTTACCTAGTCTTAGAGACTAGGTGCCATCACGACCTCCTACGGAGGGAATTTGGGGTCGTGACAAAATCACTAGTTGATTGGTGTTGCTATCACTGCTATTTGTTTTATATTATTTTTGTATGCTATATTGCACAGATTATTTGACTAGTGAGTGTCTTGACTGTACCTCGTCACTACTCCACTGAGGTTAGTCTTGATACTTACTGGGTACCGACCGTGGTGTTCTCATACTACACTTCTGCATATTTTTGTGCAGAGACAGGTATTGAAGATATCGGATTCGGATAGAGATTAGAGTATGATTGCAAGGATTCAAGGTAGGACTGCTTGGCCATCGCAGTCCCTTGGAGTCTTTCCATTTTGTTGTACTGATAATTTTTTATTCGATCAGTACTGTATATTCGATCCTTGGGATAATTTCATGTATTCAATTAGAGTTGGTGACTCAGTATTACCAGTCTTGGGAGGTTGTATTAAATTATATGTTTTAAAAAAAATGGCTTGACTTATGATTATAATCGGTTTTACTTAGTCTTAGAGACTAGGTGCCATCACGACGCCTGCGATGCGATTTTTGGGTCGTGACAATTGGACATCGGTTGAAAAATTAAATTAAAAACTATTTATAACTTCGGTGAAAAGGGCGAAATCAAATTGGACTAGTTCATCATATCATGTTCCTCTAGGAAATTTTCCAAATTTTGTTATAATTTATTTTGCATTTCGTTTTCAGGTACTCAAATAGCTAGCGGCTAGCCTAGCTAGGGAAAATTAGAGAATTCTTGAATCCATTTTGTGGATACAAAGTTGGCTCAATTAAAGTACTCAAGGGCCCTTAGATCCTAATGACTGAAATAGAATTTGCTTCTGATGAAGAGACTTAAGAGCGAGACATATAGAAACAGTCTCATCAAGAATTAAACTGAGGTTAAGAATTAATGGGCTTGTTACTCCTTTCAATATTTCTTACTAAAATAAAATTGATTTTCTCTATAGTGGACGTGTTATGTATCAAATCATGTTCAGGGGCGGCCAGAAGATAAAGCCGCTAAAGCGGTGGGTTTAGGCCCCAGAATTTTTGGGGCTCCAATTTTTGTTTTCCAATTTTTATTTGATGTCCGGTATTTAATTTGAGGCATTGATTAATTCGAATTCGTACGGTGTAAAGTTCATTAAAGTGAGACCGTTCCTGAGAAGGGATTTTTTTTCATTCCAAATACTGAAACCGAATACTTTCGGTTAAAAAGGGAGATATACTATCCATCCACCACAACTCTTTTTCGGAGGCCCCAAATTTTTTTAAGAAAATATAAAGTATTTCAAAGTAGAAAAGTAAAATATTTTATATAAATAAAGGATTACATTAATCATTAGAAACCGAATACTTTGATTTAAGAGGCGAGACATATAGAAACAGACTCATCAAGAATTAAACTGAGGTTAAGAATTAATGGGCCTGTTACTCCTTTCAATATTTGTTACTGATTTTCTCTATAGTGAACGTGTTACGTATCAAATCATGTTAAATCATGTCTTCGTTTCTCATAACATAAATCACGTCTTCAATTCTTTAAGCTGCGCTTTATTTGCAGTCACATTTCTCATAACATAGACACACTTGTCAATGCCATCTAGCTACCCAAAACACAGCTGTTTTGGCCCTTCCATTCATAATAGTTTAGATACGTAGTGTTTTTTGTCTTTTTTTTTTTCACAGTGATTTTTCTTGATAAGAAATGCATAAAAGAATTAACCCAAATAACCGTCCCCCCAATCAAAAAGTAGCCAGTGAAGGTATAATATATGCATAAGTTATGTATTATATATGTATAATAGTATATAATCAATGTAAAATTTATGTATATAGCTAAAAAAAATAAACAATAAATATGACTGGCTATTTGTTTAAAGATATAAAAATCAAAATTAGGATATGACTTCATGTAATTGAAGTTAAGATGGGCTCAAAAAATAATTTGGAAATGCGATTTTTAATCTCAAAATTTTGAATTCCNTAGAATTAACCCAAATAACCGTCCACCCAATCAAAAAGTAGCCAGTGAAGGTATAATATATGCATAAGTTATGTATTATATGTGTATAATAGTATATAATCAATGTAAAATTTATGTATATAGCTAAAAAAAAGTAAACAATAAATATGACTGGCTATTTGTTTAAAGATATAAAAACCAAAATTAGGATATGACTTCATGGAATTAAAGTTAAGATGGGCTCAAAAAATAATTTGGAAATGCGATTTTTAATCTCAAAATTTTGAATTCCATGTCCGTCTCCATGCTGGTAAATGATTTGACCCGTTCTTACAATATTTACTGCACATCCAATGAATGTTTCAGAAAATAATGAGTTCTCCCTTTGAGCTGTGTTTATCAGGAGTTTCCATATCTCCTTTATAGGAAGTCTTATGTGTTCTCTTGCCTCTTCTTCTGAAGCTCCCTTTTCGTTCATGTAATACTGAATAGACTTGGGAACGTCACCCCTCCTCAATTCTTTCTGAATTAATTATAGGAAATAGATAAATTAAATGAATCGAGACATATATATAGAATTTGTTACATCTATTTATTATATTTATTTTGAAGGCCAAACAATTTCAGCGTTGAAAATATGTATACTTTTGTCCTTGAAAATAGCACATATGCAGTTTTCGGACTGGTAATTGAAAAATAGAAGCATTTGTAAAGTCATTAAAAATTAGCCACTATTTTGCTGAAACATAGAAAGTAACAACATAATATGCTAAATTATGGATCTCCTCCGTATAAACTTTAGCATATTATGTTGGAATTCCAGCACACGAAAAGTTCCAGCATAATATCCTAGATTATGAAGCTTCTGCGTATTCTAACATATTATGTTGGAACTCCAGCACATTATGTTGGAATCTCATATGTAAAAAAATTCGAATTCTAGCATATTATGCTGGAATTTTTCCGGACTTTTAAGGGTATTTTTGTTCAAATTTTATCTTTACATGTAAAAGTGACTAAATTTCTATTACTTTTTAAAGTGTGACTATGTTTCAATTGTCATTTATAAATCTGGCTATTTCTGATCACAATGTCTCCATTCAAATATATCATTCAAATAATCTCAATTCAAGAGTCAAATATAAGTAAGTTTTATACGAGAGAAAGGTATAAAAGCATACCGATGATGTCCCCAAATCGTCGGCGAAACGAAAAATTATAGCAGACCAGCGAATTATGTCAGGATATTTGCTTAAGGATTCAAATGCCTCTTTGGTAACTGGATTGGTAGCAAGGGGGAAAACATGTACTAATACCATAGGAACTGCAACTGAGATCCATGCATTATTCATGTATTCTTCCAGAGTTGGCGTATATCCATTGTAGTACCACCTTGCTTCTTGTAGGTAAGATTTGCACAAATCTGC